GACAAGATATTTTTTTCCTTATCAACTTCACTGTTTTATGTAAATATATGCTCATTCTGAAATTGATGCCTGCAACATATTTAAAAAAAAAATGCTGGGACAGGGATAATTTAAGACTAAAAACATTGTGAAGTGTTCAAAAAACATCTTAAACAGATGGTGTAGTGCTTGGGTATAAAAGGAGGATTCAGGAAAGGCCTAGAACAGTTTCAGAACAACATTTCTCATTGAGCAAAAGTTTTTAGCTATTCTGTCCTCCTAAGTGCATAATAGCATCAAATGATTTAGGGAATCCAGAGAATCTCTGTATATGAAGGGCAAGGTCAAAAAACTTGACCCCATGACCTTCAATCATTCAGATAGCACTGCATTAAAAACTGTGATGGACATGGCAACATGGGCTTGGGAATAAACACTGTTTGTTACAGCATCCATTAATACAAGTTAAAACTGTACTGTGACATTGGAAGCCGTATGTCAACAATGTCCAGAAATGCCGCCGACTTCTCTGGACTGGATGCGCAGTGGAAATGTATACTGTGTTCTGACAAGCTCTTATTTCAGATTGTTTATGGAAATGATGGACGTCCATGACAGAAGAAAAGAACCATCCAAACTGTTACCAGCATAAAGCCAGGGTCTGTCCTGATATGTGGGTATATTAGTGTCCATGGATTTGTAACTTGCAAATCTGTTAAGACACCATTAACACTGAAATATATTTGCACATTTTGGAGCAACAAATGCTGCCTTATGGATGACGTCTTTTTCTGGGACGTCCATGCTTGTCCTAACGTGACGTCAAGCCACATTCTGCATGTGTTACAACAGTATCGCTGCATAGAGAATGTTGGTGCTAGACTGGCCTGCTTGCAATCCAGAACTGTTCCCCAATGAAAACGCATGACGCATTATGAAGCACAAAATACAACAATGTAAGCCCCATACCGTTGAACAGCTTAAGAATGGCAAAAAAAATCCTCTTTCAAAACAGAATCAGTCGATGTCTTCCGTCCCCAAATGATTAAGTGCTGTTAAAAGGAAAGCTGATGTAACACAGTTGTAAACACCCTCCCGTCCCAACGTGGTTGTAACGTCTTACGTGTATCAAATTTGGAATGAGCATATATTTGGGGAAAAATGTTCATTAGGTGAAACAACAAGTACTGTGTCTTTGTACTGTTTTTAGTTTAGAATTTACTATTCACTGCTTATACTAATGCATACTAATCCTGACTTTTTTGCAATTGAAGGTTGTAGAAATAATATATTTGTGTATTTTATCAAGTTGTAATTTCTTATTAAGCAATAAGCCACCCGAGGCCATGTGTTATAATCATTTTACCACAGTCAAAGGTGTTTTCGGCTCAATGCGAAGCACCCTTACCCATGGTAAAACTGCCAAAAAGCACAGCCTCTCGTGGCTTATTTCTTTATTTTTACTGTGTTTTCTTTGCGTTCTTCCTGGACGATGACAGAGCAAAGCTGAGAAAGGGAGTACGCTGTTTGAATCTGTTTGAAAAGTGTCATTTGGTAATTTTTTTTCTTTCTCTTTTTTTCTACATCAAACGTCCTTTCCACCTAGATAAAGACGTAACAGCCTAGCGTGGTATCTTCTTCCCCTAAGGGTGGGACATGTTACTTTTCCCCTCCATTTACCTGTCTTTAAAAAAAATAACTGCCTGCAATTTGATATCAAACACACTATCAGAGCCCCCAGAAATTATATGTCACTCTCTTGCTGATAGATAGGATTCGGCAGCCACTGAACACTTTTTTAGTGCTACTGCCAAAAGCTCTGCTTTTCTGACGCTCTAACCCACGCTAGTCTGCAGTCTGGGAGCAGCTTGGGGGAGGGAGGTGGGGGGTGGGAGAGAACTTCTTCCAACAGTAAAACAGAGTTCCACCTCTTTAGGCAGACCATTTGGTGCAGTTTTCTAATGCTAAAATTCAGCACAGGGCCAAGTGGACAGGGTGTTTTTGCAGTACATCACCTCTGGCTTTTAATATGCAGTCTGAACAACAGAAACTGACCTTCAGCTGTTACAACCAGCATTAATTTTGATACAACAGAAGAAAACTAAACCTTATGGAATGTAAAAAAGAAAAATAAGTTTTGACAAAAGTAAATTTTATCTCTGATACCTCTGAAACTTGTGATACAATCAGCTGATATCATTTGATAGTCAAAAATTAACCTCAAATAGTTTGTGAAACAGTGATTTACTGGCTAATCTGATTGTCATTTGTTATTTGTCAGATGTCACATATGCATGTCTCAAATGTGATATTTCTGTCAAATAAACAGAAGAATATAACTTATAAAAGTCTATATCAGGTAAACATCATCATTAGGGCTGGGTAATACTCTGATACTGATACTTTGACTTTAGTACTAATCCTTGAACCACATTTTTATTGACACCTTCTTTTAAATTGCAAACAAGAAGTAAGTGTGGCTTAAATACAAAATTTATTTAAGATGCTGGAAGGGAGTTTATTTACTGACTACAACAGACTGCAGATTAGTCAAGAATCACTGAAATTCTACAATTGACATTTTTTTAAAGTACTAAATTTTGGTCCTCAGCTCTACTCACAATTTTAAAGCCTAAAACGAGAGCATTTTTAAAGCTATACTATGTAAGTTTTGAGGATTTGGAGACCTCTCTGGTGGAAATGTGTAATTGCATATAATGTGCGAAAGAGCATTTTGTAATGTCGGTTGTGCTTTAGTCTTCTACCTTGAGCTGAATCTGGTGATTGCAAAGCACACTGAAAGAGCATTTAAAGTGAACTCAGTCAAATTGTGGTGAAATCTGACCCGACACCTCTGATTTTTAACTATTAGTTCAGGCTTTACAGAGTCGCAACAGCACACAGATCATATTTTAAAATGTTTTTTCTTCTGACTTGCCCTCTTTCAATTTTAACAAAAATAGTGCAGCATTAAGTACATGGTCTGCTCTACTTGTCTTAAAGTTTTTGGGTGTTATTGCAGAATATTTTCATTTCCAGACATGAGCAGAGCTCATAAACATACTGACCCTTTATACTGGCCACATTATATATTGGTTGGGCCTTAATGCAGGCATTTTGCCTCATAAGCTCTTCAAGCATTAAATAGTTTAGTAAGGAAGGTTTTAGACTCGGATGATTCTTTATGTTGCTGTCTGATTCCTAAACTACACTACTGATAGTTTTGTATGCTTTAGATGTACATGTATGTGTTTTCCATGTTTTGTGTGGGATTTTCTGTATATAATAAAACAAAATTTCCATTTTGCTGGACAATAAACTTAATCTAGTCTAAAAATACGTGAGATATCAGAGAGTAGGTCTAGGCATTAGAATATTCTGTTCTCGAGAGCAATAGTTTACCACCCTTTGTCCCTACATTGATCTGCAAGTGTGACTCTTTGAGGAGTGCTAATTATGTCCATGAGCGAAGTGCCAAGTTCCATTAAATGGCTAAGAGAGAGTGTTTCTGCATGGTGGCATCACTGCCTCTTTGCCCACCGAGCCCAGTGTATTTTGATGCAAGCTGAGAATGATGGCCAGAGATATTTGGAAAGAATTCTTATGAAGTCCACCACTGACTTCGTTAGTTGGTATTTTTTGTGTGTGAAGCGGCAGATGAAAAAGGGCTTTATCTCTCAGAGACAGCCCTGTGTCTTTGACTGAGAGTGAAAGAATCACTGTCTCTCCATTCTCACCCTTAAAATAGCCAATTAACATTAAAATGTGCCAGTAAAAACACAACACAGAGCATCCTACAAAGGAAAGACATACAATATTTGTCTTGCAGCTTCTGTTCTCCCAAATGACCATCATTCTGACAAGGTGTTTTGGAATAGAAATTGTTGGTCCTATCGCTGCACAAATGGCTGGTAATAATCTTTCATTATTAAATAAATATTGTGGTGGAGAAGATCTAAACTACTGCTCAGTAAAACAGATTGAAACAAGCATTTATATAACTGGCAGTGCCATGTGTGAGATAAAGGGCTAAGGTAATATATGAAATCTATTTATATGAAATAATAAGAAATAAGAAATAAGAATAAATAATAAGATATACAGTAAATATATATATATATATATATATATATATATACACTGTATATCTTATTTCTTAAATATATATATATATATATATATATATATATATATATATATATATATATATATGGAATATATTTGAAATACACATATTGTGGGTATATTTATAGTTGCCTTTAGAACGAAACCTCTTGTCTTTCCAATGATAACATACCATTTTTTCTTCTTAAAGAAATAAATAAATACAAATAAACAAGTAAACACTACATTGTAATGTGACATGCGTGAGCACATTAGTTTAACCATTCCCAAAGTTCTCCTCGAGAAAGTCCAATATTTACAGTTACCATCCAATACCTAATTTATCTAACCAGTCCTTCTTCAGATAAAGTCAGGAGCTGCTGATGATATTGAACAAATCCAGACGATGGCTGTAGTGCAGCGAGACGTCAGGAACCAAACCTATGTTGTTTTAACTGTGCTCTTCTAAGCAACATATTAATAACGTCTAAAATATATATATATATATATATATATATATATATATATATATATATATATATATATATATAATATTTACTGTGTTTGTTTCATATATATATATATATATATATATATATATATATATATATATATGCTATATTATGTTTTTGCTGGCAAGAATTAAGCTCTAGATTCTGGCTGTGATTTCACAGCCTTTGATTAATATCTGCTGAGAGTAATTTTACTAAAGACAGGGGCTTGCTTTTCAAGAATTATGCATTCAGAAGGGAACAACCCATTTTAAATTGTAGCTCAGAATCACAAAACAGGAGAGGAACCAGGCGGAAAATCTTGCCGTGAAAGGGCATATGCTTTGCTTCCCATTTATTCAAAGTGATGTGACAGGCTTTAGGCCAAAACACGTCTGTCGGCCTTTGAAGGAGCGGAGGACGTACCTGCTTCTACGGCTGTCACTGTGATGTTGTGCCAACCCGCCGTTTCCCTGTCCAATATCTTCCCCAGGGTGATGGCACCAGTCACAGCATCAATGTTGAAAATCTGTTCCTGGTCTGTGCTCCGGTCTATCGAGTATCTGGACATAGAGAGAGAGAGAGAGAGAGAGGAGGACAGGAGCAGATGTCAAAAGATATGTTTAGACAGAAAAAAAAAATCCAAAAAAGAATAAAACAACAATGAAAATAATGACAGAAATCTAATACTATCAAAGCTGCATTAGAGCTGTACTTAGTCCAGTTATAAATCATAAAGGAGTGGCTTTAATCATTAACATTAATTCCATCTGAGCATTTCAGTGAATAGATGTCACATGTACAAATAGGATATAAAAAAAAAAGTCCAAAAAAAACCCGAAAAAAAATGGACTTAAATTATTATTATTTTTGGGTAACATGATAGTAAGTATCCAGGCAGTCTTGCCAAATTACTCTGAAATGCCTGACAAGCTCCAGCTATTAATTAACAAAAGGGAGTAGTAATACGTCTCATAACTATTATTTGGAGAGATGAGGTGCAAACAAACTCACACTAAATTTCAATGTAATGTCACATATTTCAGCAGGAAAGTAAATTAGAAAATTCTCTACGTCCTTTATTAGCTAAAGCTAGAATTTCCGTGGTTACTTACTATCATAGCCAAAATAATTACCTAGTTTGTACCAAACACATTAATTAACAGAACGGAACTGTAAAAGATAATATTTTCAGATTTTTGGATAAATTGCATCTTTAACAGTCTTGTCTTAAATTATAATCCTAAAAGTGTCTCAAATGAAGTATGTTTATGTGTGTCTTGTTAAGTTGTGCTCACTTGTGTCTGCCTGTATTTTCCAAAAGAAACTTTAATAAAGGCTTAGCTCCGCCCACACAGAGCACAACCATGTCATATGTCCCTGAAAAACTTGTTCCCTGTATAATCTAACTAGACTATCCAAATATGTGCTTTATATCACATTTTTTCCTCTGTAGTTATGATAACATTCACATAAATGGTGAATCCTTTCTGACAGCTCACTGGCCAATGCATTCTGAGGCCCATTTTTAAAACCATTTTTCTCAAAATCAGCTTTTTTCTATATTCAAAGCCAAAAAGGCTCAATATCTCAGTTTTTTAGTACTAGATTGTGTACTATATTAAAACAATGAGTGTCTAACAGTCTGTCTTAATTCTAACATCCAAAGGCTAAAGGTTGGGTTTTAAAAATGTATGATGTCTACATATTTAATTAAATAACACCTCATTTGCATATGTAAATGCATTTTTTGACCCTCAGACACACAGTACTTAGATTATCAGTAACCTCTGGCAGATATTCAGTGTGATGTCTATTGTTTTAAAAAATGATCTTACTCACAGTGTTTGAGTTAAAGAAAAGGCTTTAACTTTATATCTGCATTTCAATTTTAAGGAACACTGTTTTGCAGGAAATAATCAGCAGATGTATCTGTCAAAAAACAATAAGAAATAAAGAAACAAACAACAAAAATATATCAAAATATATATCAAAGCCATTAGCGCTGCTTCTTTTGAAGTGCAGCTACAAATCTTATAGAAATTTTAATTAATCATTAACATTAAATCTGCATTAGCATTTAGGAAAAAAGTCTAAATTAGTTTGAAAATATTTTTTGTGTAACTACACTGGGAAAGGTTTCACTGTCTCTTGACTCTTTTGCAGGCTGAGGGGGCAGGCCAGACAGCTCCTGCTGCCAGGCACTGCTTTCCAAACTGATGATTAATATTTCATGCGGCACTCCAATATAACCAAAATACATTTTTATTTTCTGCGTGCCCTATCAGCAGCTCTTAGAAGGTTACAGAGTCAACAAAACACAACGAGGAGTTTAGTTTTTCCCCCCACTCCAGTCGTCTCTTTATGCCTTTTTGAAAATGAAAAAAGATGATATTAATTTAGTTCTAATCTTTCCTTGTGGCTATTTGAGTTAAGGGAGAGCGTAGGGTGTTTTTTGCTCTTTTACCCGGGAGGAGTAGGAAGAACAGAAAGTATAATAGACTAGATATAAAATTTAGACCAACAGCAGATTTGGAAGCAGATTTTCCAGTGTATACTACCCTGAGCTTCAGTATGCATAGGAGACATGGGCTGAGTGCTTGCAAATGTTTGTGTTGTGGTCGTTTGTGATATTTAACAATACTGTACACCAGTGGTGTAGACAGGTATATGTAGACGCCATATACTGACTTTTTACCATTTACTGACTTCTAAAGGTGTGTGTTTGTTTGTGTATATCCACTTATGTTTTTTATGCCTCATTAGCCGGGGAGAATACCGTCGTGTTCGAGTCTCCTGCAGTCACAGACATGCTGATATGATTTGAGGTAAAAATAGATTGTGGTTGAAGACTCCTGCTGACTGTGATAAATATTCGCGTAACATGCTAGTCAAGCACACTAGTAGTACAACACATTGACTAACACTGATTAAGGTTGGCTTACATCAGTTCTGTGAAAGTAGCTGTGTTGCGGCTAAATAGGATGTTAGTCTGTGGCTTTAAAACAAGGCCAACATATTCAAAAAACATTTAGAAATGTTTTGTCACTGATGGCAGGATTCAAAAAAGGGTTTATAAACAATTAAATACTCAGGTATAACCATTTATTTTGCAATTTTATGCTGTCTCTATCAAGAAAAATGGATGTTTATTTCTTTATTATTTTTCCCCCATATATTTAAATGAAAATGTATTTTTTGTCTGTGTGTGCTGAGCAGGTGCACATTTATAGTATAACCAGTTTTATCCTAGGACTACACCACTGCTGTGCACTATTCTGATGTTGCCCGCTACACTGGACTTCAGTTATTTGATACAAAAGGTACAAGAAGTAATTTTCAATGCAGTTCTACTTTGCAGAAAAGCCAAATGAAACATTCAGGTAGTACATATTGTATTTGCCTCCTCTCTTTCTGTTATGTGGGGACTAGGTGGGAAAAAAGAACATAAACACTGAACAGAAGAAGTAAAGATTCCCCTAACTGCTTTGCCAACAAAAGTGTCAAAATGAATCTGTGTGAGGCGTGCAAAACTGTGCGTAAATCCCCACTCAGCTTGTAAATGTTTATGGGACTTGCCATTAAGGCAATGGCACCAAAGCATGTCGTAAAACTCAGCGCCACAAAGTTGTGAAGCTTCACACTTTCATATCCTCACTAAGGAGCATGAGCAAACTTGTGAAAGGCAAAAAAATGCGACACTTTTGGCTTTTACACAACAGCAGCACAAGAGGAAAAAAAGAAAAACAAACTCTGGTGGAGGTTTTCTGTGCAGAAGTGGTGCTGGTTGCTTGGGGCCGCCTGTTGGCACTAAGGAGAAAGCCATGAGGCTGTGGGCACGACTTTGCTCGCTTAGCTGAGTCCAATAGAGATGATTAAAGTGCTAGCGATGGACATGGGAGAGGTGCCATGCAGGGGCACGTGCCAACCAGGCAGCCAACCCTGCCACTGCACTGTGCTTTATAACACCTGGAGCACTTTGAGCTCTGTCTCATGCATTTTTAATGGACGTAATTTGCACTGTGTGTGTGTGTGTGTGCGCGTGTGTGACTGTGACTGTGTGGCTGGTCTTCGTCTTTTATTCCCTCAGTGCTGCACCTCTGAGATCTAGCAGTGAGCTCTGTGTATCTGTGGGTGCTGACGAGTCCTGAGAATTGTGGGGTCTATCAGTGTGTTTACAGGGAAAATAGGCTACAGTCATACTGCACGCCTTAAAGCTCAATTATGAGTTTCTCTTTTCTTTTTTTTTCCCTGCTCTGACTTTGTTATTGCTCCTTGTTTAAAAGTGACCCATATCTGAGATCGAAGAAAATACTGAGCGACTGACTTGCATACAGAAACGAAAAGCAAAAGCCACCTCTCTTAGTTGATTGAACAATAGCTTCATATGGACCATATAGGCCAAATAATATTAGGCCTGTCAAATAATTAAAATGATTAACTGTGATTAATTACATTGTGTATTTTTTCCATTTAAAAAAGCAGACTATTTTGCTACAGCTATGAATGAACAAAATTAGCTTAATCAGAATGTATTTCTTACTTCCAACAATGCAGTAACATTGTTTTCTTCATGTGAATGCAGAGATTTGTGAGTTTCATAGCATCAGTGCAGTTTCCAGTTTTCATCACCAACATCATGAGAGCAACAGTGGCTGCACATTCCAATTCAGAGTTATACCATGCGCACTCTCTACACTTTACCAAAGCTGTCCTTCAGTGCTAACGTTCCTGATATTACTGATATGTTTAAGTAGACTGCAATGAAGTGGCAAAATCTAAGCTTTAACAAATCGTTTTAATAGTAATGAAAAAGAAATAGTTTGTTCCTGTTTTGTTCTGTTGTTTTTTTGTTCCTTTTGTTCTCCTGTTTTGGTCAGCAGAGACACATTTAAACTTGTTCAACAGCAGCAAATCAACAGTGAGCATGTTGATCATGAGGAACTATTTCATGGTTTCAACAATGAACATTAAACATACATTGTTTTCACTGTTCATGTCGAGTATCAAGAGGAGATACAACACCAAAGACGTCTACATTACAGGCTTGAAAACTCCTGAAAATACAACACCCCCTTAATACGCAGAATGCAACAAAACACCAGAAGCAGAAAGACTCTCCTAGTACACCAACAACATCTGTAGCCTCAGCTTATAAAATCACGTTAACATCAAGCTTCACTGGCAAAGTGTAAACATAGTGTAACTAAACTAAGTATAACCTAGAGTAACTAAAAAATAATGGAATGGAGTGCCTTGGATGACCAACCGTTCTACTGATAAGGGCTGTTAGATGTCATGATATGTACTGTAGCTGACATACTGTAATTATTTTAGCAAGTTTTTTTTTTCATGTAAACTGTTTTTTCTCAGTTATTTTCGTTTTTCGGCCGAGTGTGTCCTGAATTTCAGTTTCAGTGTCAGCCAAGTATTCTCATTTGAGTGCATCACTAACATTTACCATTCACTTTAACAGAAACTCCTGCTTTTACTCACTTGCCACATTAAGAGCTCCATTTACCTTATAGGTCTAACAGATACACAGTTACAGACTGTAGCTTCTGTCATGCTCAATTTGTCAGCCACTCTCTACCCCATTCATCATTGTTCAGTTTCTGAGCACAGAACCACTGCTTGACCAGATATTATTTGGGTTGTTGTCTGTTCCCAGACAACAAACTGTGCATCGACAGACTCTAACTGTACTTCAGCAAGGTGAAGCTGTAAGGTAAGTGTTTCAAATAAAGTAGCCATGAGTTTAAGCATCATATATTGAGGAACTCCTTTGGCTTTTAGATCAAGAGCATTGTTTACTGTTTATCCCCGCACTGCAAGTATTAGCATTTTCCCTCCTCTAATGTACCTATTTTAAACTCATGAAGGGCTTGTTAACTAGCTGATGATTCGAGTCAAGTGTTTTGGCAGCAGGGACATCACTATCACACGCAGGTGTTCTCCAGAGCCAGGATTAATATGTGTTGATGTAGGGTAATTCTGTAGTACTAGAGCACTCAGGCTTTGTTGTAAAACAGTGATTCTGTAAAAAAAAAACAAATTTTCTGCTTAACCCAGAGGCAGTCAGTCAGCCAATGTGGTGTCCACTTTTCACTTCTTTAGCTTAGTGCCGGAGCCAGATCTTTTCCATAAATACATCCCCAAGACTTTTCTCAACCCATTCAACCATGTCTTCATTAAGATGCAGACTTATCGGTTGGGTTTAGGATAACGTGTGACTTACTGTGAACATGAACATAATATATATATATATATATATATATATATATATATGTTTTTTTCAGTGGTCAGGACCCCATGGACCCTCACAGAGCAGGTACTATTTGGGTGGTGGATCATTCTCAGCACTGCAGTAATACTGACGTGTGTGTTGTACTGGTCTGAGTGGATCAAACACAGCAGTGCTGCTGGAGTTTTTTGAACACCTCAGTGTCACTGCTGGACTGAGAATAGTCCACCAACCAAAAATATCCAGCCAACAGCGTCCTGTGGGCAGCGTCCTGTGACCACTGATGAAGGACTAGAGTATGAGCTATCATCTCTGACTTTGCATCTACAAGGTGGACTGACAAGGTAGGAGTGTCTAATAAGAGTGGACAGTGAGTGGACACAGTGTTTAAAAACTCCAGCGGCACTGCTGTGTCTGATCCACTCGTACCAGCACAACACACACTAACACACTACCACCACATCAGTGTTACTGCAGTGCTGAGAATGGTCCACCACCCAAATAGTACCTGCTCTGTGAGGGTCCATGGGGGTCCTGACCACTGAAGAACAGGGTAAAAGGGGCTAACAAAATATGCAGAGAAACAGATGGACTACAGTCTGTAATTGTAGAACCATAAAGTGTACCTGTATAGTAAGTGGAGCTGATAAAATGGATAATGAGCCAAAGAGGTGGTCATAATGTTATGCCTGATCAGTGTATATACATACAATATAAAAATTAACAAAACTTCACTGTCACTGAACGCTGCAGGCACTTTAGACAACAGGTGTTGCACCAAAATGCAATTGGCTGTCACAGTCATGGATGCTACAGATTATGTTCCTGGTTTCTGTTGTTTCTTTTCCTGAATAACTGTTAGTCTTGAATTTTCTAACTGAAGATAAAAGTTTAAATATAGAAGCAAAAAAAATTATAAAGCTAATTTAGCACCATATCCATATGTGTACAGGAAGGGGAGCCAGCTTTTTCAGGAGATACTGAATTTAGCATGACATTGTTGGTTTGAGTGGGTTGAGAGAAGTTTTGAGGATGCATTGTCAAAAAATAATTGTCTGACTACAGGCTTCTAGTGTTCGTTAGCGATGTTAACCTCATAGCTCCAGTGCTAAAGATGCAAAATGTAGACTCCAGGCATGTCTTGGCTGACTGATTACATCTGGGTTAAGTGAAAAATTATGTAATTTAGATTTTTTGCGAAACCATTCCTTTAATTCTAATTCATAGGTCTATTACCAAAACAGACCTTGTGGACAAAGTGGCATGAAAAAGGCACTAGAGAACTCTTCATGGCCGATGGTGTTCTTAGCAGGCAAGTCAGGTCTACCAGCACACAGCTAAATGGAAGCTACTGACATTGGCCTTGCATTCACCTTCAAATTGATTTGTAAATTTGTCAGTGAAGGCAAGAAAGAGATAAAAAAAAAAAAATTACAGTATTTGAGGAGTTATTAATTCCACCTCTGACATCTTTCAGCTGGTGCTGTAGGTAGGAAAAGTGCTAGAGGTGCTGGCAACAAACTGCGATTCCAAAACTGAGAGTGTGCTGTGAAAAGTGCACTTGTTTTCAAAGTGTTGAGAATGAAGAAATGCTCTTGGTCTCAGTGCATTTCTGGCAGTATGGATGTCTGAGGGCTTGAGGATAGCAGGTTGATAACTCAGCATGCGCCGGTAGCGTAATGTGCAGAGCCTCTGGCCTGCTCTGCAAGCTGAACCTGGTTTGCTCCTCTAACTCAGGAACTATATGTTCTCATAATGGGCCTTCTCAACGAAAGAAATATATCCTTGTCTAAAGTAAGAAATATGGACAGAGCCAGGTCATAAATACACAAACAAAACAAACACACACCAAACTGCCAGACTCTTAATGTGAAAGTTTCTGAAGACAATTGCCAGACCTCAGTTTCTATTAAAGTTGTGCCGTGGATAGATCCAAATCATTCAGAGAGGGTTTTTGTTTTGTTTTCAAGCCGACTTCATCTATAGTCACCCCCCTTTAGTTTCTCTTGCCTTTCATTTGGTTTGTCAAAGTGTGTCCAGTGACAAATCTTTCTAATCACTTACGTGTTTACAACACATGTATACAATACTAACTTATATGATATAGAAAACTAGACAGACGTTTTGTTCAAGTATTTTGGGAACAAGTAGTTATTAAATGAAAAATAATGTACTGTATTGATCAATTTATAATATTTTTTGTCAGCTTCTCTGCTTTGGGATTTGATTGCTAATTTTGAAATACCAGCATGCTGGATATTAAGTCATTCTTGATATTGTACAACACTTATTTACATTTATAGCTCTGTTCATCATTCTGGACACATCTAATATTTTTTTAGTTATTTACAGCTTGGTTTTACAGTACTGTGCACAAGTCAGAGACCAAAGTCTACACAATGACCATTAAGTATAAGTTATTAATATTTCAGCATCAGAAAAAATATTATTATTATTATTATTATAGATATATATTACCGCTTCCATTCTTTTCTGGAGACTTTGTTTTTTAAAGAAATTTGCAGGGATATTTTTGCACATGTCCAAAGTGCAGTCTTAGAATTTGCTTGTATTTTTGGTATTGCATGGCTTCTTGACAGCTACACATCTTTTCAGACCCATAATGTTGAGTCTTCTCACAGTGGAATGACAGCAGAAACACCTGTGAAATTTAAGTCTATCTGATGGGGACAGTTTTGGTGGTCTACCAGGTCTTGTACAACTGTTAGGTCCCATTTTCTCGCCATCTTTCAATCATTTTTTGACCTGTGTTTTCCTGTAACTTTCCCCTTTCTAAAATCGAGTAAGCCTTAATACGAATGAAATTTACCTCACAGGAACATTATCCATATCTGGGTCCTTGGCAGTGACGATGCCCACAAGGGCTCCTTGCTTGGCGTCCTCTTGTACTTCCATAATAGCGCCTGTGGGTGGGAAGAAAATTGGGGGCTCGTCTGTGTCCGAAACGCTGACCCTTACAATGGTCTGGTCCCGGAACGAGCCCAGGTCCACGAAACGGGGGTCCACATGCTTGTTGACGGCCTCCACCACCACATTATGGGTCCGCTTCTTCTCAAAGTCGAGAGGCTGCAGAGCAAATTGGAAAAGGGAGAAAAAATAACAAATGCTGTTTTGAAGCATTATAGTTTCAGGGTCAGCAGAAGAGGTTGAGCATTCTGCCATATCTCGGAGGTTAGAGGTATACACAGAGAGACAAAATTTCTATGTCTATTTCGTGGAAGGTACATCTTGTTCGTCTTTCACACACAGCCTGAGTTATCTGAGGGTACTCAGATGAGCATAATGCATGAGTCAGCGAACAAAGTGAGCTGGCACGTCCTTCATAACAGGAAGTGACACGTTGGTATGGTCTTAAGTCTACCTTTTTGATAGTGATGACGGCCTCTTGGGTGTCTCCATCGGTGGAGACTCTGAACAGCTCTCCTCCTTCCTCGTCTTTGATCAGGTAGCTCATGTCTGTGTTCTCGCCCATGTCCGCGTCCGTGGCAATCACCCGGCCCACAGATGTGCCCACGGCCGTTCCTTCCGAAACGGTAAACTGATACATCTCTGAGAGAATATATGAAGAGAGAGGAGGGAGAAAGAAAGGTAGATAAATAGATCAAGTAAGTCTCATATTCCCTCCACTGTGTGGTAAATACACATCTAGCAGCACTAAGCTATGCATGTGCTCTTGGCACAACACTGGTCAATTTATGAATGTAATGCTTCGGGGACATTATGATTCAGGATGCGGAACTCACAGCCTGTACACAGCCGTTTCTAATCCCACAGCACACCGCAGTAGCCAGGAGTCATTACTGGGATTTAGTTCGAAATGCAGCCCTTTTTGGCTTGGCTTGAAGCAAGGCATTATGTAATTATGCCATTATGGGAACATTACGTGGGAACACAAACACATTGACCAAAACTAGAAAGGAACGAAGGATTCTTGCACGGTTGGTGATTTGTATGTTAAATTCAAATGCAGTGAGCATTAAAGAAGTACTGATTTGCAGAAAGAGATTAGATTATTTTCCATGACACTACAGCAGTTTTTAAGGATGCATCAAAATTTCAGCCACCGAAACATTTAAAAGGCAATTTTTGTTTTCAGTGTAAAGGAAAAAAAAAGAGCAAACATTTTGGCCCTACAAGTGCAAAATCAAAGACAAACAAATTATTTTAATGCTGATTAAAAATGAGAAACTGTGATTAACAGCTTTGTTTTTTTTTCTTTGTTTTCCTGTACTGGTCAGCGCAGACATGTTTAAATAGTTTGAGCTGTAGCAGATCAGTTGTCTCTATGAGGGACATTAGATATGCAATTTATAATCTCTGGAGGAGGTATAACGCCCAAGAATGTCTACCGAAAGGAAAGTTCCTGCTAAGTCAACAACACCATCTGAAGCCCCAGTTTTTTGAAATGACAAAAAAAAACTAGAGTCAATGTGGCAAAATCTGAAATTTATTGGACAACGGACTATTCTTTGTTGTCGAAGAAACTGGATTTCATAGGCACATACTGTAGCTTATATACTGTAATAATTTCAGTGAGTTTATTTTATGTACTGTTTACTGCTTTTGTACTGTTTACTGTTCTTATTTTTGTTAGATTGTTCAATTAAAATCAGATCAATAGAACAATAAAACATCAGTAATAAAATGTATTTTCTTTATTGGCCAGGTGTATCATGAATTTCGGTTTCGGTTTGGGCCATGAATTTTCATTTTGGTGCATCACTAAGGCTGGCTTTACGTGGTGAAACTTTCTTTTAACACATGAGTTGCCTGCAGCATAATTTCCATGCAACTTCAAAGTCACACAAAGCAATTCAAAAACAAAGTTGCTGCAACACATTTCAGTTACTCTACTAATTAGCCAAATCAGCAGCATGTATTTTTAATACACTCGCTATGAAGTCATCTGCAGGTGTAATTTACATATTTGCAGCATTTTTATCATCTTTTTTCATCTATCATTGCTGTTCTTTTTTCTATATTTATTTTATACACCGATCAGGCATAACATTACGACCACCTCCTTGTTTCTATGCTCACTGTCCATTTTATCAGCTCCACTTACTAAATAGGTGCACTTTGTAGTTCTACAATTACAGACTGTAGTCCATCTGTTTCTCTGCATACTTTGTTAGGGCCCCCTTTTACCCTGTTCTTCAGTGGTCAGGACCCCCATGGACCCTCACAGAGCAGGTACTATTTGGGTGGTGGATCGTTCTCAGCACTGCAGTAACACTGATGTGGTGGTAGTGTGTTAGTGTGTGTTGTGCTGGTCTAAGTGGATCAGACACAGCAGTGCTGCTGGAGTTTTTAAACACCTCAGTGTCTCTGCTGGACTAAGAATAGTCCACCAACCAAAAATATCCAGCCAACAGTGTCCTGTGACCACTGATGAAGGACTAGAGGATGACCAACACAAACTGTGCAGCAGCAGATGAGCTATCGTCTCTGACTTGTCAGTCCACCTTGTGGATGTAAAGTTATGAGTGTCTAATAGAGTGGACAGTGAGTGGACACAGTGTTTAAAAACTCCAGCAACACTGCTCTATTGTTCTGTTTCATTTCACCATGTAAAGCCAGCCTAACAGTCTTCAGTGCTCCATTGGTAAATAGGCAAGGCAAAAATAGCACTTCCCTGTGGCCCTACTTTCTTAAATGGTACCGTTGTCATTCATTACGGTAGCCACAGAAATACAAAATAGCTTTAGTCCATTGTACCTGCATTTATGTCAGAACTACAAGGGTGTTGCATTCGTCCGCTATCAAAAAATATGACGTGCAATATCACTCTGACCCACAGCACAGCAAAAAGAGCTCACTGAATTAGATGGTAGGGAGAGACTGGACTAAATGTGGACTTGTGTGGTTAAGAGGAAAAGGGAGGAAACAGGAGGGCCATTGAGATGAAGAAGAAAAGAGGCACTGGGGAGTGCAAGCCTGACTCACACACTCTCCTCACTGTAATAAATCTAATGTCGTAATGCCTCACGGAGGAAAGAAAAGAGCCAAAGAAACAACATAGGAAATGGGTAGAAAAAAAAATACCCACATGTCCCTCAAATTTAATATGTCTGTGCGTGCTCCTTTCTTCTCTTCTCTTTTTATTTCGTTCTTTCTGTGGGGAGCTGCCAGACGTGCGCACACATACACACAGAGAGCCATACATACCCCTAGTGTTCCCCTGACATAAGCTATATTAAAAGCTTCACCCATCGGGTCCTCACTGATATGTAAGCAACCAGACAAAGTGCTTTTCATTTGTCTGCAGCCATGCCGTCCGCGTTCTCTCTGAATCCCTGCTATGTGGAGCCCATGCGCACCAGCGTCTGCTGCAGGAGTGCTTTGTAGGCCAGGCACACGGGTGTGTTTGTGATGGCTGTATACACAAGACTGATGGGCTCCAGCAAAAGACCTTAGGAACTGACGATGAGGCCCGAGCTTCACTTACTCAATCAGCCACTCTAAATGGATCAAGCTGCTCGATACATAGCAAACAGCATAAGACACTCTTTCACACTGTAGGAGCTTTTCACTTGGCAGTGTGCAGCAGTTAGAACCTGCCTGTGCTGCTAGCCGAGCTCTTTCTTTGCTGCTTCCAGGCATTATGAGAGTAAACATAAGGCGTTCTGGATAATAAAGGGGAATTTCACAGACTTTTCAAAACTTCTGCATGATTAAAGTATTAAGATGTAAACAGCCATTCAGAGAGTTTTGATGTGAAATGCGAAACTTGTTGAGTTAGAATTGTACAGAGTGGTGGTGATGGAAACCAGACATTTGGAGAGTTTAATAAGACTAAAAACTCCATCACAAAGTTATTATATGAAATGGTTATGAATAACATGAATAACATACATCAGAGCTGTGCTCTCTAGTTCTGACTGAACTTTATGCAAATGAGCTGAGCGGCAGCCAGTCAGATTCTTGATATGTGGCGTGGTAGCAGATTGTGTCATGTCCTGAGATTGAACACTGAAACGCACACAGAGCGGGAGATATAACGGTTAATAAAAGCGTCATTATTAAGTTAGATGACTTTTTAACGTTAAACAATATTAGGCTGCCTTTAGGGGTTCAGAACTGGCCTATATCTCTGTACAGACTTTCTCTCTTTGAAGCTGCATATATTTGAGTGACGCTCTCCCAAAGTAGCCAGCTGTTTTCAGCTCACTGTAATGAAAATACAGCTTTCACTTAACACTTCACGACTGCTGCCCATTTTTAACATATAAAAACTTGGCTCTAAAACAAGCAAACATGACTCGATACCACACTAAAATTATCATAAAGGTCAGAACGTTTTATTAATATTATTTTTAACAGTTGCTATCCTGAAATCAGGGTGTGCTGCAGCCCCCTCAGCGCACATACTTTTCACATCCCTAGATATATTTGTGTTGTAGACATTGTAACCCCTGGTTCCTATCAGCACCGCTGTATAGAAATCAGAGCTGGTAAGTTTCTCTACAATGAACCATTTCACACCAAACCACTCTGAGTTACTTACTTTACTCAACAAGTGAACTATGCAGAAATTTTGAAAAAGTGGTGGAATTATCCTTTATTAGTTTGATAACGTCTTTCCAGATGCTATACAACCATCTCAGCTATTTCAAAATAATCTAGGCTGTTTAACAGCTTCTTAGCTTCCCACTAATGATTCGAAGCTTGTAAAGCCATCGTCAGCACATTAGAATCATTTTATACATTTTCTGCAATATTACTGAAAGCACTGATTCCAAACTTGTGAACAGTGCTGTACACCTGAAACACTTTAAATAAACCTGCATAGGCTGCTAGCTGAGTGCTTTCTCTGCTAATTTCCTTAGCGGCCTGCTCTGTGCAATCTTTCCGCTGCTGTCTGTTCTTGAGGACAACATATACTATTTATATTCTACAGGACGTCTGTGTGAAATGTACTGTGCTCTTGGACAGCAATAACCTCGTACATAATGGAGCTATCTCTTTCCACCAGTACAGCACAAAACCCAGATAATCAATTAGATGCAGGCTGTAAAGAAAGGCTGCACAATATAGTGTTTGTTGACTGATAATGCAATATTGTCCTTTGCAGTACTGGTAGTTCAGAGGGCTGCAATATGCAAATGAGCCCTCTGTCCAGTCACAGCCAACAGTTACAGAAAAATGAGACGACTTCTCCTCAGCATATAACATTGCTCCGAAAAGCTATGGTGTTAGCTTTAACTATCTTAAAGGGGGGGGGTCGCTTTCTTAGCTATAAACCTCTTCTTTTTAGACATGGTAAAAATGGTTTCTGGAACTTTTTAAAATTAAAATTAGCCTACACTGTATCAGTTCTCAAACATGTATGTCTCCAGTGAACACCCTGGTGAGCCAGTTCATTTTTGAATAATAAAATGTTTTTAGTAGTTTTCTTTTGAGCTACTGGACCTTACAGTCTATTAGCACAAGTGCTATGGATACCACTAAGTAGCCTGAAATGAAAGTCTGATGGACGTAGCAACAGTAGCTGAAGAAGGCTGGACTTTGCAGAATTTTGCAAAACAAAAAATATGTTTACAGTACTTGTACTTTGTACATAATGTGCAGTACAGCATCACTTTCATTTCTCTGATCCTTTCATCAGTTAGGACTAGAAGTACAAACAGCTCGATGCTAATAGAAATGTAAGTAATACACAAACTGTTGAAACTGCTCTTCAGTTATTTGAGGGTGATACTCTGTTTGAAACATTTATCATTCATAGCCTTAAGGATGATTTTTTGGCACTATCTCTGCATTTGTTGCACAGGCCTACTGCTGAGTCAGAGCCACATTTGTAGTAAAATGTCTTACTGATGTCATATTATGTGGAAGAATAGTATATGAGGGACATGACTTTCTGTCTCCTTGGTGATAAACACTGTTACGTTTCACTGGCAGACATTAACACCATATGACAGCTGTGTCACTATCATATTGTATGCACAGAGGACTAAGACTGAGGCTGTCAATATCGATTATAATAGTAATTGATAGGAATGCACAATCGAAATCGTCCATGATTGGAACTGGACATTTTTTGCTCCAAACTTGATTGGCAATCAGCAAGGTATTTTTATTTTGCAGGTAAGTGTACTCGTGCTGTATTTAAACACTGATGCTGCAGCTACACCAAAAAGCTGTAGCTTAATTATAGTCTATAAAGTCTTAATTAAGTCTATAAATATTTGGACGTTGACAAAGTTACTGTCATTTTAGCTCTTTACTTCAGCATATCGTTGCAGCTGGAGTTGAAATTAAATGAATATGAGCTCAAAGTGCAAACTTTCATTAATTTGAGGGTATTTACATCAGAATCAGGTGAATAGTATAGGAATCACCACTATTTTCATACATAACCCCCCCTCACAATGGGCTCAAAAGTAATTGGACAATTGGATGATAAGCTGTTCTATGGCCAGATGCGTTATTTCATCATTGTTTCACTTATAAGTAATCAGATAAAAGGTCTAGATCTGATTTCAAGTGTGGCATTTGCATTTGGAATTTGTTGCTGTTAACTCTCAATTAGAAGTCTGCATGACTCATTGTGCTAAACAGCCAGCCGCCTCTTACTTCTGATATAGCTCTTTATTTGATTTATGCTATTTAAACGGGCAACTCATTTTTCATTTAAAGATTTAAGATGCCAATTAGGCTCATTAGAGAACAAATTATGTTAATTATATTAAGACTTTGGCTAACAGAATGTACTGCAAATGTGGTTGTGTTTCATGTGTTAAAAAACCTTTTTTATGTTTAAAAAAAAAGGTTAATAAAAATTAAGCAAAAATAAATAAATGAATACATTTTAGAACTCATTTATTGACCAATGTTGCTGTAAGAAAAGTGTGATTAATCAAATAGATTTTTTAAAGCTTTAAAAAATTCCAGTGGTCTTAACTGAATAATGACGAACCACACAGTACCTTTCATAGATCCTAAAATACTTAATTAGAAAAAAGAAACTGTTCTTTAAAAATTATATAGAACCACTACATGACATAAAAATGTGTATAAATGGGCGTGTCCATCAGACTTAATTAGGAGAGACCAGTGAGAGAATTTTTAAAGTATCATTTTAATCAATGATCATTATGAATCGAGTAATCTGATCTGATGATCATCATAGCCCTGATTATAATATTTTTGGCTGTGATGATGTTACGTATTTCTGACAGGACAGGAACAGGAAGCTGTATGTCCAGACCCACAGGAGACAGAGTCACAGAAAGGGCATTCCTAATGGCATGTGTCTGTTTTAAGGCACTCTTAATGCCCACTCACTCTGAGGGAAGCGTGGAGGGTTGTCATTAACGTCCGTGATCACTATGGTCACCGTGGTGGAGCCAGAGAGACCGCCCATTTGGCCTGCCATGTCTGTTGCCTTGACAACCAGCTCGTAACGGTCCTGCGTCTCCCGATCGAGATCAGCCACCGCTGTTCGAATCACTCCTGGAGGGAGCAGAGGAGAGTGAAAGCAGAGAGAGAGAGAGCGATGAAGAGAAGGTAGCATGGAAAGGTCACATTAGCCACTTGTAGACAGAGTGATGCTGGGCATATTCAGCATCAAAGAGAGGACTATCAGCTCCAATTAAGACAGCAATTAGACACAAGTGCAGCTGTGTTCAGTTCAAACTCTCAGCCAAATCATTATGAAAATGATCTTGTCTTGTTTAAACTGTATAAAGACTTACAGTGTAACAGACACAATTGTGGAAGGAGACAATAATTGAAAAAATAAAACATGACAGTAAATATGGTAAATTCAGTAAATAAACAGTAATTGTGAAATAAATCGTGTAGAGGTGCGTTCTCTGTAGAGGATGCATTAACTTTCACTTAGAAAATCAACAAAACGTCTTTTGACAAAGGGGTTCCCAAACTTTTGCGTCCAACCGTACATCCAAAAATCAAGAACTACAGTGCGGCAGAATCATATACCCAAGTAAAGGTGTTTAGCTTCTTAGGGCAATCGTGACTGAACTACTGGCTTAAAATCCTTAAAAGGTTTATTATATCCTAAAGACTATTACTGTTTAATAACTACATGAATTACAATGCAAACTGCCTAAGCTATGCTTAACTGATAGAAGTGTAAATGTTTGCACACACCAGCAAGTCCTGGTCATTTAAAGGGTTAATTTGTGTATCATCTTGCGTTCTTTCATAAGCAAGTTCTGGCTCATCTTTCCTGAAGACAAGCTGACAATCTGCATTAATTACACATTACAGTGGCATTAATATTGTGTTAATATTTGCATGTCATTAAATACAGGCCTAACGAAAGAGAAGTGTATTAAAACAAACAATATGAGGAATCAGTACATGCAAATAATATTAGATCATGTTTTTTTTTCTTCCTGTGACAGTGACGTATAATGACTTCAGATTTCTGAATTCACTGTAGTTAACAAATATAAAGTGTTTAAAAATGACTTAAGATATAAATGACATCCTTCACTGGCACAGCTGCATTTATTTGTCATCATAAGCATTTTGTGGTTATGATGATGTTATTGAGAATAATGACAGGGTTCATATATTCTAACTAATAAAATCTGAAAGTTGAAAAATGTTTTAAGTACATTTTAATAGTATTATAATTAATATATTTGTTTTGATTATGCTAATAAAAACACCCAGGTGGAATGGCCACAAGGAGGGAATTACAATGCTAAATTAATTTCCATAGTATACATTCCATCTTTTTACACAGTAGCCATAAAAAGCAATTTCGGACTGGTTTTGAGGTCCCTCGGTTTTGGCACTATATATTTTGTTCTTCAGTACCATTGATGCAATACATTTAGATATGAATGTAAATGTACAAAAACAGTTCATAGAGCAAGGAAGTCGATATTTGTAAGAGTTTTTCATTGTGTTTAAAATGCTATTTTTATTGTGGCAATTGCACATGCTTGTTTGAGATGAAGAGTCTGCAGTTGTGCTGTCTGTGTTGTCTTGGCACAGCCATCTTTGTGGAGAGGTGGGAATTGTTTTTACAACATCAACCCCCCCTCCACCTCCCCATTGCTCACTAGCAGCTCAACAGTGTCACAGGATTTCACACATGGACAACCAAGAGAATTTTGTCTTTTTGGACTAATTAAACACATCCAAGTCGATTACCATACATCCAGTGGAATGTCCACTAGGAAGCCTGCAAAAAGGGGTTAAGCAAATATGGCTGACATCACATCATATTATACATACAGTAACCTTTGCCTAATGCTTTCAGATTGTGTCTTAGTTAATTACCACTTTATTCTTAATTTGTAATATGATGTATTATGATTTATTATTGTTTTCAGCTAGCAGCATTAAGTCATTGTTGTGTCAGTGTTCAGCACTACATATTTTAATGTTGTAATGATGTAATGTAAATGAACTTAAATAATTACTCATAATAACCTTGATTTTAATCCAGTACAAATCTACACTATTCATAGTTCTGGCAGTAATGAGGGAATTACCTAATGTAACTGAAGTTAGCACTCCCACAGTAATAGCAGTACTGTTTGAATGGACCTTACAGTAACAAAAACTAGTTATATAATGGACATGGTGCTCCCTGCACCGTGTTTGTTATTGTTATTGAGCATCACACCTGTTGTGTAACACGGACATGTACCTCCAGAGTATGACGTCTCAATCTAGCCTTCCTGGGTAATTTGGGGGAAAAAATGGGGAGGATTTTTTACCATACCATATTTTTTACCATACCATTTTTTTACCATGGACAGTCAAATCCTTTACAAATTACAGCCTCCCTGGTAAAACTAGCCAAGCTCAAGTAATGCTTCAGTGGATGAAGGAAGTTTCAGGTGAAGCTTAATTAGTTATTAATTAAACAGGAAGTAAGAGTAGTCACTAGAATTACTAGAATCAGGTGAGTGCCGGCCAGTGCTGGAATAACCTGTGATCAGAATACAGATCAGTCTGAATCTGTCCCTGCATAATCACACCTGAATTAGGTGTATGAGGAACAGAAGAGTAGATCTGGGCTTGCTCTTAATGGCTTCTGAAGTCCCTCTCACCCTGTCAGTTCAGTGATATTCGCCAATCATGGACCTCTTTAGGTCACATATAGAGAACTGAACAGGTATCAGTCCCTTCTAAGTGCATTCAACCATCCTACAATGCTGCGTTAGCAGGAATTTGAGAAGAAGGTGCAGTGATTGGCTACACCTGTCACTGAGGAAACAGGTATTACCCCTCACCTGCCCAGGTATGGCCATGATGGTAGCAACAGAGGAGATTTAGCAAATGATTAACACTAACTAATTAACAATTAACACTAGAGTTAAACGTTTTAAAGAATACGTTACTTTTTTTTTTTTACTTATTTTTGAAAGACTGACTATAAAACAAGTCTGAATTCAGTTTTTGTATGCAGTGCTCTACCCTGTCATTTATTCCTCAGTAAAGAAAATGGCATTATCTGGGTGTTTATTTTGTATGGGGGCTGAGGGGGTGGGGTAAGGGGGTGTGGTCTTTGTGCTGTGGTGAGGGGCTCAACAATGGCACCAGTAGAGAACAACATAGACAGACTGGCTAAGAGCCAGATACAAGATACAGTCAGTAAATCATGAGCATGATCCAGCCAAACACTACACAGAAATGTTTAATGCAGAAATCTGCTTGGTAAGTAACTTTGTTTGAAACATTTGCCACCACTAGCTAATGGGGCTTAATGTGAGCATCAAGCTAACGGGGGGAATATTTGCATTTCAAACAGCTCTGTAGATTAAATGCATACATTTGAAGCTCGTAATGGACTTTAAACATGGAAAAACAAGGACTGTGTTTCAGAAAATATTGGAGATCAAACATTTCAGATTCTAAGGGATGTCAATGGACAAATGATAGCAGATGAAACAAAAATAAAAAAAAATGGAAGGAATACACAGAAGACCTCTACAGGTCAGATTTCAGCTGTCTTTAGCTGTGTCTCTGCTACACAAAAAAACCTTTAGTGCTAGAAGGTGAGGTCAGTTTATATCCCAAGACAGAAACCAAGGGACAAGACTGTGCCAACAATCACACACTTTCCCTCATATTACACACCTGTAAAATGATGCTTAAGATCATTCAGTGCAGACTAGAGCATTACATCCAAAGACGAGCTGCCAGACGTGCAAGCAGGATTCAGGAAAGGCAGAGGAATGAGATATTATTGCTGATGTTTCCTGGATCATTGAAAAAGCCAAGAACTTCAAGACATGTTTCATTGACTACAGAAGAGCATTCGACAGAGTTGACCATGTTAAATTATGAAACGTGTGAATAAAATGTGAATACCAGAGCATCTCTTTGTTCTAATGAGATCTTTACACTGACCGAATCATGTTTGTGGTCAGGATAGAAAATGGACGAACAGAATGGTTCCACATTGGCAAAGGAGTTAGACAAGGCTGCATTTTTCACCGCACTGTACCTCTTTAACCTCTATGCAGAACATATAATGAGAGATGAAGAACTGGAGGAAGATGATCGAGAATTCAGGATTGGTGGAAGAAACATAAGTAACCTTCGATATGTGGATGATAGAACACTCATAGCAGAAAATCTGCAAGAACTGAAGGCCCTTAAAAGAAAGCTCAAAGAACAGAGTGAAAAGATGAGACTTCAGCTCAATATGAAGAAGATTTATGACAACAGAAAAGACTGCTAACTTTGCCATTAATGGAGATGATGTGGAAATGGTGGACAACTTTTGCCTACTTGGATCAATTATTAATAATAGAGGATCCAGCACTCAAGAAATATGACACAGATTGGCATTCAGGAGAACAAGGATGAAAGAGCTTGAAAAGATCTTCAAATGCAATGATTTGTCTCTACAAACAAAGATGAGAACTTTCTAGGCAGTGGTCTTCCCTGTGGTTCTGTACAGATGTGAAAGCTGGACATTAAACAAGTGAGAGAGAAAAGATATAGATGCCTTTGAACTTTAGTGTCGGCAGAGACTTTTGAGAGTATCTCAAAGCAAGATAGCAAAGAAAACATATAAATCCTTGCTCAAGTCAAGTTTCATCTCACTTGAAGCCCAGATAACCAAACAGAAGCTCTTATTTTGTATATTGTTATATTTCTAAGAATAACCAATTAATTGGAAAAGATCATTATGCTTGGAAGTGTTGAAGGTAAAAGAGGAAGAGGATGACCATCAACACATCAACAACATGGAGGGATACAGAGGAATCATAAACCAGCCATCCAGAAGCCAGAAGACTCGAACAGAAGGTAGGATATTCTGGAGAAACACCATCCATACTGTCGGCAGACGTTGGAAACGACTTGATGGCACAAATAAGCAGACATTGAAGTAACATCTTTAGACGTTGCAGATTTGAAGTTGGCTCATTTGATACAGACTGAACTCAAAGCCTGTCTCTGAATATTACTAGAGCTTGTTAGGTTAGCCATATGCCCATCTAACTCTAGAGAGGACAGAATATGGTCTGGTTCTCCCACAGAAAGCCTTTTAACATCACTAATTAAAAAAGGCTGCTTTGTCAGTCACTTACACAGAAATGTGATGTTTGTAATATGTGACAATACATCAGTTTTATACTCTCCTGTTCATCAGAGACACCTGTAAGAGAAACAGCAGCTGTGAAAGTATGAAGGCTGGGTTAGTGGGTTTGGTTATTAGAATGGGGCAGAATGTTTGCTCAATGTAAAGCAATCCTAACAGCTTGTAGAATCACAGGCTTTCTGTAAAAGAGGAATGTGCCAAAATGGTAGAGACTTAGACGGATGATACAGTGACAAGTAATGTATATGTGACCTGGCAAGAAAATGCAGTTTTGTCTCCTTTAATAAAAAAGAAACAAATATATTTTTAAATTGATCAAACCTCTGAGAGTAGACCCGCTGACTCGCGATCATTTTATGCCTTCAGCATTTTAATGTGGAATAGTTTTACATGGATGGAGAGGATCAGTTTTTTTCCCTCTGAGCTGCTAAATAAATATGGGCCAACAAGAGCAAAAAATAGTAGGCAGTGTTGTTGCCTTGGGTACATATTGTGCTTTTCTTTCAGAACCCTAGAGAAGCTGAAAAAAACTATTAAATATTCAAAAATATAAGCAAATAGACAAATCACAAATTATCCATCTGTTCAATGTATATTTTATAATGTAAAATATCTTCTGTGTAGTGAGCTGTATGCCCAAACAGCTTTCGCTAACAGTCCTGTATAACAGAGTCTCTCTGTATCTGTTTTTTTGTCTGTCTGTCTTTGTCTCCCCATTTGTCTGTCTGTCTCTTTCTCTCTCTGTTTCTACACACAACTCTGTGACTGCCTGCAAAGAACTGATAGCCACAGGCAACGTCTGTGTGGCACAACACATCTCCGCCTGTAGTTCAGTGGTGGGACACGACGATTGCTGCTGTCAGGCAGTAAACACATAGAAAAAGGCAGAATTCACTTGCCCTCCACAACATAAGAGCGGGTGAAGTGAGGACTGATCACTTGCAAATGCGGCATTTAGTTATTCAGATAGTAAATGTTCCATCTGGAAGGCATTTGAAGATACTGTAACGGTCTTTGGGGAGAGGCACAGTAGTGCTACATATTAAATTGGAAGTTTTACACTTGGATTTGATTCTTTCACATATTTTGACCAAGTTTGAAGGAGAACTGAGAGCTCCAAAACATTCCTGATTAGAGATATTCAAGCAAAGTAATGAGATAAATTCATCAAAAGGTTGAAAACATGAAAGAAGAAACACTACTGCTTTCCAATGTTCAAACACCACCAACTATCCCTGGACACAGCCTACTTATCCAGCCTGAACCTTCTAATGAATGACATAGATCAATAACTATGGACAGAGTTTAATGATTTTTAATGACTTGGGGACGTTAATGGGGTCGCTGGTTGAACACGCAGCCCGCTGAGGTCTGTGACCCATGACCTGCACTGTGCTAAGTCCTGTCGACCTCTAGCCCCTTTAACTGATCTCAGATCAGTCAGAAGGTATTTCTAAGAGTTTTAAGTCTGCAGGCTAAAAATCCTTTGCTCTGGCCATTCATCACTCCTGGCACTCGGGCTGACCAAATCAAGGCCCACAGCCCCTGTAGCAGAAATCATTAAAAGTTTAGCACTATTCTTCTGGGGAATATTTGGAGGCAACATAAGCTGAGATATGTGCGAAAGATTAGAGGGAAGACAGAACTGGTGAAAGAGGAGTCGTGTTTCGGCTTTGGCTGGCTTTGGATCACAGTCAGAAAAGAAAAAAAGATGGCAGAACGTCTCTGAAAGTGACACAGCACATTATAGACTTTGATTTTGTCTGATTTTGATTTTTTATTTATTTTTTCCCTTGCAAGGATAATGCGTCTGTTTCCAAAGCCACTGAAAATAAGTTTATGTAGTGTGCACATGCAGTATAGGCACTTCAAGGAGAATTCAACATTTTTTTCAAATTTTCTGCATAATTAAATCATTGAGATGTAAACAGTGTCATTGAGTGATTTGATGTGAAATGATAGGAAGCAGGGGTTGCAATGTCTGTCTTTTATTTACATTTTATTTATGATATTAATAATGGTAAAATAGTGTAAATCTGGAAAAAATCTTTTTTGCCTCTTAACACCCTGCATGTACTTTTCTTCCATGAATGGAGTTCAAAAAATACAAGTTAGGCCAAAGCCTCCTCAAAATGACCATAATACAATGTCTTAGACATCAGGCAGTGTACTGAATTTCATTAATGATATAAATTACAGTAATAACTTTTTTCAGATCGGTTTTAGAGCATTTGATATGTTTCACATTAAATCACTCTAAAAGACTTTGTTGACACATTAACAAATTAATTATGCAGAAAAATTAAAAAATCAGTAGAAGTCCCTCTGAAAGGTAATCTTTAAGCTATCTGGGATTTACACAAAAACACAACAAGGATGAATGACTAGAACCAACATATTTACATCCACCTATTCAGCCTGCAGCGGTTCAGCCCCACTTGTTCATGCTAAAGTTATAAAGATTGTTTCAGCTCAAGCTGCTCTTTGAATGAGACACAATACAGGGTCGCCAATCAGACAAGAGGTCATATGCCTTAAAGGCACATTAACCAAAACAGCCTGTTTACTCATATGGAAAGATTGGAAAATTGTCATGTAAAACTGAATTATGACTGGTTTTAGTACATAAAACAACCCAAATGTCAAAAGTGGACAAAAAGTGTAGGATACAGGATGTAAGATAAAGGCCCATGGAATCAGAATAAAATGGTACAGCAATATACTCAGAGTTAACTGGCCATAACATTTTACCTCTTCCTTTTCTTCACCTCTCAGACCCACTTAACCTGCTTTTAATCATCTTTAATGAACACTCTGAATGATGAAGTTTGTCTAAGTTTCAGAGACAAATGGAAGTTGAAGACTTCAACATTTAAGTGATTTCAACAAGGCATTCAGCCCACTCAGTATGACACAAGGCTCAGAATGGTAGACTGAAGCATGATGCCTAGTTTAGAGCTACAGTGTGTCCTCTGCAGAATTTCCACTGAATGTGTAATTTAGTCCAAGAACACAGCTAGGTTACATAAAATACTTATCATTAATTACTGTCGCAGCATTCAACAGTCAACAAACGACCTCGAGACAGTAAATAAATACTGATTGAATAAGTAAATAAGTGGCATGATGTGAATATGGTGTTGCATCTCTAAAAGAATCAGCAAAAGAGAATTAATCTGTAGCATTGCTGCTATGGGACAACTCTGGTGGAATGAACATGTTTTTTGGCTTCCTGATGATGATGATGCCTCTTACCATGACTCCTTTGTAAATGAAAGAAATATATCTGTAGTGCTTCTCTTTGATGTTAATAGCACTTTGTGAAAATGCTTGCAGATTGTCTATCATTGTGCTACATTAGCTTTAAAACTCACATGCTTCCAAATTATAGACATATCATTAAATTGTCTTTGTTACAGTAAAACCATCCCTTTGTTCATTTAGTTCCAGTCAAAATGACCAATTATTCATTTTTTAGTCAGATAAAACGCAGAAAACATATATTTTACAGAAAATTGCACAGAAGCCTCGACAACTAAGTATGTCATTTTTAAATATTTAGTGTGTCCACACCTTTGCTACAGCTTCGATTCTTTTTTGAAAACATATATTGATTTCAGTTTTTCAAATAAATCTTTAAGTAACACCAATACAATAAACAAAATGTCACTACAGGTTTAAAAATTGTCCATTTTTTGTCCAAGAATAAGCCTAGTCTGTGTTCTGAAAAGCAGCAGCTGGAGTACAGCACTGACACTCTCTACTTTTAATGCTAGGGAGTTCAGTTCTGGTTATCATGCTCTTCGTGACAGATTATAGTCTTGGTTATTTTCTCAAGACGCTTTAAAGAAAATCTTCCCTAATGCTAATGCTAAGCCTTTCAATTAATGTCTAATGCTGGGCATTATGAAATGGGCAATGAGAGTGTAAAATGACAGATGAATATGAAATATGAAAAAAAGCTTCATTAAGCACAGGGCTCAAAGGAGCAGGCTGAAAATCACTTTCAATAGGTGTGTTATTGTAGCAGGCTGAATGTGGCAGTGAGAGCAGGGTGCTTATCAGTATCCAGTGCAGGTGCCCTTACCAGTCTGTCTGTCAACTGTGAAGAACTTCTCTCCATCCAGAACACTGTACACAATCCTGGCACTGCTGCCGTAGGTGGGGTCGTCAGCATCCGAAGCCATCACTTTCATTACCGACGTACCTACGAGAACAGCATTAATACTTGAGTCCAAACATAATTGACTTATTCATGCTCTGCCCACAAATATGTTCTTTCATAGCAGCTGTTTCATGGTTGGACAGGCTTAACGAAATGTTGACTGCCATCCCATTCAACCTAATGAGAAACAATCATCATTTACATAAAACTGAGTTCCCAGGTTAAAATGCTATGCTACCGAGCTGGTCTACATAGTTTGTTAATCAAAACTAGCAAGCTGGTAACAACAACACTGATTTTGCCACTGTGCTAACGTTAGCTTGATTACATGAAAAGGTAGGAGGTAATGTTTGCAAAAAGTAGTTTATTTTTACTACATATAGTGTGCAGTATACATCTACATGAACTCAACAAGGCTGTTAAAATAATAATAAAAAAACAAATGCTGGTGTAAATCTGCCACCAGAGGAGTTATGCTGTGTGCACATCACCAACCACTTTATCAAGTGCAGGTGTAGAACCAGAACTTTCCGTGTGCCACCGTATTTCCTATCACTGTATAAAAGATGCATGAGGTCTCCTTTTCTGTTGGATATACTATGATATATATATTTTTTTTATTTTTTATTTATTTATTTATTTTTTTTCTGATTGAGTTCAGTTCAAACTGGTAAGCACTTCATATTGTTTTGTTTAATCAGAGTAATGATGAAGAATGACTGATGTGAGAATAGCAGATTAAACAGTTGAAATAACCACTTATTTTTGTCAGGCCTCAGGGGTTAATTGGAGTGTTGGGGTCTTTCAGCTATGCTAACTAATCTTACATCCATGGGACAACAACAGGCTAGTTGCCTGTCAGACAATGATGATGAGTACATCGTCCACTACTTTGAGCTCAGCCTTCACGAAGAATTTTAGAAAGTTTGTTCCAGGCCTAATGTTCCCACCCACATTTAGCCCAGAATTTCTCATAATTGTTCCACAGACGTTCTCGTTATAAGATCACATCTGGCCTACATCTTACATCTAAGACTACATCCAGTGAAGTGACCATTCACTTGCACATAAAATATCTGACTGTAGATATTTTGAAGAAGTTGTGCTACAGTTTCTCATTAGGTTAAAAGGAAATTTTGCCATCATTCTGTAAAGCTTATCCAACCTTGAAACAGCTGCTGAGTTAGAATGCATTTGTGGGTGGAGCATGGATAGGTTAGTTGTGTGACAAATAAATACAACTGTTTTGGTTTTTTTTGGTGTTTTGGTTTTTTTTTTAGATTTTGTGTCTCATTAGCGCCAAGTCATTTGTGTTTAAAGACATCTTTGTTGGTTTGTGAGAAAATTTATTCTCTGCTGTTTTCTTTCCCTGAGTCGTCTGGGTGCGCGCCTCAGCAAGCCCCAGGCTCCTGGAGCAAAGCACATATTTACATTTAGTCACACGTTTTAACTAAAGCAAAGCCTCCAGCCTATAAAGCTTAATGGCCCAGAGTCTGGTGGGGGGGTAGAAAAAAAGAGGAGCATGCTGCACTTTAAAAAAAAGAAAGAAAAAAAAATGCTTTTCATCGTGAGGTGAATGGAGAGAGATAAATAGCAGCTCTGTTCATGCGGGATGTGGAGCAAGAGTGGCACTCAAGGACGGAGCAGAGGGCTCTACCCGGGGGCGCCTGGTCAGCAGGTAATTGCTGACAGCTGGTGGTGTCCAAGAAAGGTCAGCGTCGCAGGCTCTCTCCCGGAGACCTGTCATGCTACTGTCCAGCCACACAATAGTGCTATGCTAATTAGGCTAATTAAAGGGAAGTGTCAGAGTCCTGTTTGTCTCCTGTCACCAAAGAGGGCTCCCGAGGGGTAGTGGAGAACAGGACATTGTTTTAACATTAAAGTCAGTGAACCATTTTTGCCTCAATCTGCCAGTCTGATCTAAAGGGGATTGTAGAGTTCTCCTCTTTTTCTGTAGGACCTCCTGGCCTCAGGCTTGATTCTGCCATGAAAGATGGACTAAACTGTGACAACCACCACTGTAAACATCAGATATTCCATAAAACTGAGAGGGGTGTTCTAATATGTTGGCCTCTGTAGTGCGTTTCTATTTTAATTTGACACACTCAGAGTTTGTCTATTGAGGCATACTGGGAATCAGAAATTGTGGGCATATTTACAGAACAGTCACAGTAAGCAGGGATGCCCCAATACCACTTTTCCAGTTCTGGTACTGATACCTCATCCCCAAATGTCTGGTGATACTGAGTACCAATACCTGTACTAGAGGTGTCCGTGGGACTGTTTTTTTCAGGCCCGCACCCGCCTGCAACCAAAATGTTTTGGCCTGCTTCTGCCCACACGGTTCCATCAAGGCAAACTGACATCCAATACAGTCTATTCACAAATACATTATCTTCTGCTGAAATAATACGGCAATTTCACCAAACGGCATTTATTCCAGTAAACACAAAGCAGGAATTAAACCACAGAACGGTTATTTTGTTGTTTTACTGGGCTCTGCAACTGTGGCCGTCGGAATGAAGGCTCCGCTATCTCTGTAAGCTACGAGAATTTGCGTGTTGTTCACGTGATCTGTTGCTTCACAACTCTTTAAATGGCTTTAATGATTTTAACTGTTTTACTGTTATCATTTCAATTGTTTATATATGTATGATTTACGTTCTACAGACCTCGACCATCTAACCTAAATACTGTGTGCCTATCCAAATTAATAATAATAATAATTAATACAGTTCCACTCTTTTATTTTGGTGAAAGCAATGTTCTGTGTCACAAATAAAACATCCTAAGCGTAACTGAATGGTATTTACTTGTTGGGTGATATATATTAGGTTGTGGGGTGCTAAATACTGTTATATTGTTGACCTTCGAATTTATCTCACTCGTCTCACACTTGTCAGACTCTGCTGGAGTTTAGTGAATATTACAGTTATTTACACTATCAGAAGCAGCTGTTGAGCCATGCATTCTTGGCTTCATGTGAGCACCAGGCCCCAAGACCACGGCATTGTCTGATGCAGCTGACCGGCGACGACACACAGCAGTCAATGCTTGAGGACACATTAGCCAAGCTAGCGAGTTGCTATGCTGAAGGCTGTCATTACCCCAAGAAATCAGCAGTTTCTTCCATACATAACTCTCATATTCACTCCCTCAGTAACAACCTGGACTAACATTACCTCAGGCTGTAACTGACTACACAGTGGGAGATGCAGGAACACTGAAAGATCCCTGACTCAGCCAGGCAGGTAAAGGAGATATACTTTAGCTTATTTTGCACTGTATGTACATTGCATTCTCTGCACATCCACAAACTAATACCTTAGGAAAAATTCCAACTAGTATATCAGACACTGCTATTGCCTCCCCTTGAAATACTGCCATTACAGATTTTGCAGTGAGCTCCAACGAAGTGTTATTTGCTTCTGTTAAGGTCCATCTACCGGCATCTGCATGCCACAAATTGCTTCATGGTATTGCTATTCTCTGTTGCCAACTTCTATACTGTATTTAAGTGCCAGTACTGGCTCCACTACTGATATGGTCTGTGTTGGTCAAACACTAACAGTAAGCCATCATTCTATATTTACAAATAGTGCTGGGCAATACAGTTATATACAAAGTTTGAACCTCCAGTTAAATGACATTTTGTTGCAATTTTTTACTTGCTTGTTTAATATATTAAAAAAAAAACACACACAATGTAAAGTGTGCCATAACTTTTGCACAGGCCACATTTATGTGTGTATTTTTTCAGTAAGTTGAATTCAGCAAACATTGTGCTCCAAAATGTGTGTGTGTACTAAGAAGTGTGTAGAGGATGTTAACTTACTTTCGCTTTGAAAATCAACAGCACATCTCATTGGATGTGGGGCAACCAAACTTTGCATATGACTGTATACCTGTATACCAATATTGGTCCTACGACAGTACTGACTTTTAGCTTTAGTGGTACTAATAGATATCAGTTACAATGTGTGTCGTTTGCCGGGTGCCTTAGAGTTTTTCTAAAACAACTTCAAAATTCACAAAAACTAAATATTAAATCTCCTTTCTGGAGACATCATTTCTGGCTGGTCAGAGTTTAAAATTTCATAGAAAGCTCCTTTTGATGGAAATATAAGGGAAATAGAACGGAATAGTCTAGTGTTTCCAAACTTTTTATCGTCTCATAAGCCCTCAGGCCTCAAACTTCCTGCTGCATACCCCGTCTCACTTCTAACGCAGACTCACACACGTTCATATTGCCATGAAGCATGATGTGAGCGATTTAGCCTTGAAAAAGCAATCCCTCTAAAAATATCAAACAAATTTATGATGTAATGGCACAACACACCAGATATATTGAGTTATACTGAATAAATAATGTTATGGGATGCTTGTAAGACCAATGCTAGTTCTTTTAGCCAGGTTCAATCTGAAGTGCTGGTCAGAGCACAGGGATGAGGGAAAGTAATTAATTAACTTTTTTCATTTGTAATTGCAAAGGCAGAAGCATAGACACTGGTCAGTATGAGGGTGCATATGCATGAGAGTGAGAATAAAAAACAAAATCTCAAAATAAAATAATCACAACTGGATATGAACTAACTCATTACACCAGCAAACTAAACCACATGTGTGAAAGTAAAACTAACTCAACTAAGTAACTAACAAGGAGCATAGATGCCTTAACAGCACTATAAAACACACAGCAGCAGCATAATGAATGAATTCTGTCATTAGTTTGTCCTGAACATGTACTGTGTAGAAGGAGCCAGAGTGAGATGCTTTTTCTCCAACAAACTGTAACAAATAAAGGGCAAAATAAGAAACTATTAGAGAATGCGATTGGTTAACGCATCACTCATACACATACATGGCAAATAAAAGCAGTCATACAGCCATCACAGTATAGACAGGTACACGGTTGCAAAAGCGTTCGTGTTTTAAGTGTGATTGGCTAGGATAAGATGTACATGAAACGCTTTCCAGAAATCTAGCAATGGATTTTAACTGAACATCGTATTCGAAGATTTGATCACACAGCTACCTGTGTG